TGGGGGCTGGGGAGGCGGCCGGGAGGGAAGGGTCCCCACCCCGGTGCCAGCCCAGGCTGCCCCGACGTCTAGATGCGCCCCCGGGGGAGGAGGTGGGGAAGCAGGAGTGGTCAGACTTGCTCCGGGCCTACTACGCACCTTGTGCCACCACAGGTGCTTTCTCCCGTTGTTGACGCCTGGGGAGGTTCCAGCAAGGTGAATGTAGAGTCCTATTTTATGGCGCTGCCCTGGGAACTCCGGAGGTTTGGCCGGGTTCTTAACCTTTCCACCCTGAAGGAACTTCTAGATCACTAAAGGAGGGGTGGCCCTGAACTGCCACCAGGCCCTGGAGTTAGCCTGTGGCAACACACTTTCAGAACCGAGTCGCTGCTCCCCACGAAGAGCCCAACCCCGCCCCGCGCCAGCCGTTCTACAGCGCTATCCCGGGTGATCCGGGTGACCAGGGTGACCGGGCCTCTTACTGTTAACCTTAGTTCCTTAAAGTCCTGAAATGCCAATAAAGTAAAATGATTGTAAGTGTGTTGGAAAATGGGAAATCTTAACTTGGAAATGAGTACGGTTATTAAATATAAGTTACAGGCAGATGTGTCTGCCATTTTAATAAATGGGTCATTTAGGGTCTGATTTTGGAGCCATTGGCCTGGCTGTAGTCGCCCCTCCCCTCCTGGCTGAGCTTTTCCCTTCCAGTGGGACCTGTCTGGGGTCCGCAGCTCAGAGTCCCTAAGACTTAGCTGTTTGGATGGATTGAGTCCCCTCTGTACACCAGCTAGAGCTGCATTCACTTTCACTCAGTTCCACAGAAACCGTACGCAGGAGTCATTCCCCACCCAGTGTTTTAGATGAGAAAACTGAGGTTTAGGAAGGTCAGGTCATGTCACAATCTGTTAAGTGGCAGGTCTGGGATTTTACGGCAGAAGGGACATGAAACAGGAAACACATGGTTACTAATGACGTGGTCCCCATTCCAAAGGCAAGTCTGGAGTGGAGGGAGGACCAAAGACAGGAAGAGCAGGGCTTTTCTGGCAGAGGGGTTCACCCACAACTACCACAGTAGCCACAGCTACCTCCAACAGACTCCCTCAGCTATCCAGAGCCCTGGTCCCTACTGATCTCGGTTATCTGGAGCACAGCCAAAGGACATCAAGGCAGCAGAAAAAGACACCGGGAAAAAGAAAGAGACGGGTCCCTAAGTACTGTACATGATCAATCAGGCCTGATAAATTAGGTCACACTCTGCTAGCAGCCAGAAGTGATAGTTGATACCTTAACAGGAAGGGTGGACAGAAAAACCGTATGGAAGCTGACAGGAAGCCAGGCATAGTGGTGTGTATCTGTAATCTCAGCTACTCTGCAGGCTGAGGCAGGAGGATTGCAAGTTTCAGGCCAGATTGGGCAATTTAGTGAGACCCTGACTCAAAATAATGTAGCTAATAATGGGGATGTAGCTCAGTGGTAGAATGTTTTTCTAGCTTGTATGAGGCCCTGGGTTTGATCACCAGAACCAGAATTTAAAAAAAAAAAAATGCTGGTGTAAATAGTCCAAATCCTAGAGAAGCCATGAAGGTATGTTCCAGGGACAGAATGGTGCAGCCGCCATGGTGAACAGTAGGAAACACATTAGGAGAAACACTGGGTGATTGTCCAACATATCCTTGTTCCTGGGGAGACCCAGCCAGCCGGAGCTCTCCCCTGAGACTTCTAGTGCATATAGAATTTCATGTTCTTAAAGCCCATAAGTATATACGCCGGTCCCTACTGTGTGCCACCTGCTGTGTCAGGACCAGCAAGGCCACAAGTCTCTGCACTCAGGGAGCTGGTGGTCTAGAGTCCGTGAAGTATCAGGCAAGGCAGCAATGGGGTACAAGGCAGCCCCCCCACATCTGGGAGGAGGTGGGGACAAGGGACCAGACTCCTAGGCGATGCAAAGAAACCAGAACCCGCCCTTCTGGAATCTGGCTCCAAAGGGAAAGCTTGCATCTGGCCCCCTCCCACCCCCAGGCTCCTGGCCTGCAGATGTTCCCAGCACTGTATGCCGCTGGCACTTAAGGAAGGTGGTGGCACCCACAGTTCCCCTCCCGTGCTGCCTGCACCTTCCCATCAGGCTCAGGGACCTCGACAGATCCTAGGTCATTGCCTGTGTGTCCCCCGCCTACTCTTTTTTTTCTGCACCAAGCCCTGGCAAGCAGTGGTGAGACCACAGGATGTAGTGAAGGTCTGGAGGGAAAGGAATGCCTCGGCCACGCTCGTGCCAGTGTGGCAATAGAGGAATGCCCCAGACGACCTTGTAAACCTCCCCTCTGCTCCCACGATCCAAGAGCCTGGACTTCTCAGCATCCGATGGAGGCTGCAGGCTCTGGAACCAGCAAAGCAGGCTTTGGAGTTTTATTAGACATTAAGTTTAAGGGTTTTTTTGAACAAATATAAAGCGAGCCTCCAGCAGCCTCTCCTGCTAGGGCGTCTGGTGTTAAATCGTTCCACGCACCAGCAAAAGCGCTTCAGTGGCAGGAACCCGACTCCCCTTTCCCCATCCCTGCTCTGTTCCCAGTGGCCACATGGGAGGACAGAGCCAGGGGAGGGCCGGTGTAGGAAATCAAACCTTGGTGGGGCAGGGCTGCCTGGTGGGGAGAGCACTGCTGTCTCGTCGATAACAGGCGTCCCATTGTCCCTGTCTCAGTGCCGGACGCTTGCCCATCCACTGGTCATTTGCTGGGCCCCAATCTGTCGCCATCTCTATGGAGAGATGAAGACCCGGAGCGGGAAATCGGGGCAGGCCGGAGCCTGCAAGCAGAGTCAGGATTTGAACTCAAGCCCCAGCCCTCTGCTCTTGGGCACAGACACCTCCCGTTTGATACTTAAGATGTGGAATTAAGGACAGGAGAAGAAGGATCCCGCTTGCCTTTGTGAGGAAAAGGCCCCTCCCCCGGAGAAAGGCAGCCCTGCAGGTGTGGAGCTTAGCAAGCGGAGCTTGGACTAGATTTCAGCTCTGCTCGCCCCCTTGGCTGGGGGCCCTGTGCAGGCTGCAACCTGTCCAACCATTCTCGACACCCCGCCGGAAGGAAGGCCCTTGCTGGGTCTCAGGCCGCCTTCCCCATCTGGTGTCTCCTCAGGATCCCAGGAGCAGCCGTAACCCCAAGGTGAACTTTGCAGAAGGTTAGCATCCGGGGCTCGGCCTTCACCCCTGGCAGCCTGTCAAGGCCGCCGTCCCCCGCTGGCTGCTCCTCCAGGCCAGCTTGGCTGTACCAGCACAGGTGGTTCCAATACCAAGCACTAGGAGGAGGGGCCCCTTTCTCCCCAAGCTGACCCTCTGATCTCCCCGACCTAGGTGTCCCTCGGAGGTGCCAAGGACGCATGTCCCACAGGCCTGTACACCCACGAAGGCGAGTGTTGCAAGAGCTGCAACCTGGGTGAGGGTGTGGCCCAGCCCTGCGGAGCCAACCAGACCGTGTGTGAGCCCTGCCTGGACAGTGAGTGCAGCACGGCCAGCGGGGACGGGGGAGAGGGGCAGGCGGGAGGGCAGAGCAGGGAGGAGCGTGCCCAGGGGTCACCCAGAGCAGCGGCTCTGTGCCACCGCGGGAGGCCGAGAGGCTGAGTGTCTGAGGGAGCAGGGGGGTCCCCCAGGGGTGCCCCTTCCCAGCCCGAGCAGAGAGGCTGGCAGAAGAGTGTGGCCGAGAAGCTGATGTTAAGACCAGCTAAAAATACCACCCCACCCCGCGCTGTAAAATCAATGGCTGCAACCAACCCGCGGTGTTTGGGGGCGGGGAGGAGGCTCATGTTGGCGAAGTCCTGAGACTGACCTTGGGGGTTCCTAGGAGGGCATGGCTGCCCCTCCCCCAGGCCCCAGGATGTCCAAGGGTGAGGGAGGCTGAGGGACGGAGGTCTGGGCCCCTCAGCTCCGGTCTTGACTGAGTTCTATGCTTTCTGGAGTTAGGAGTCTACCCTGACTGCTATCAGTCAGAGCCTGCCCTCTTCCTGGCATTCACTGCCCACCTGGTGCCCCGAAGAAACCATACCCCGCTTACTCTTTAACTGTTGGGAGAAATGGAAGGGGCTGGGAACTGAGCCCACCTATCTGCCGGCCTCATCTTCCCCCCAACCCGGTGTCCCGGTCTCTGCCCTCAGTCTAGCTGTCCTCTAGGCAACTCCCAACTCACACTGTTTCCCTGTGTCTGGGGGCTGTGGTTCCGGAAGCCCCCTTCCCTGCACCAGGACATCTACGCCGGTCGGAAGGCTCTGCCACCTTCGGGCACCACCCTAGCTCAGGTCTAACAGGTCTGCTTCGCAGGGCACGGCGGGTCTGGACCCGCCAAAGTCTGCCTGTCTCGTCGGGTACCCTCCAGCTTGGGCTCCTCGCGAGCCTAAACCCTCTAGGGTTGGCACCCACTCCCTTCTGCCAGGGCACCTTGTGGGGCACCGGAGAGGGGAGTCTGTGAAGGAGAGGAGAAGCCCCTCCCTGCCCTCCGCCAGGGCTCCAGCTGTGTTTATGGGCTGCCTTTACAAGCCCACTTTATGGGCTAGAGACCCCAGTGGACTTTCCCTCTATCCTCAAAACGTTTCCACAAGGAAACCGATTAAGCTTCTGCCTTCATGCTCTGCCAAGAAAGCCCATATTTTTCACACCACCTAAAACCCACTCCCAGGAGTTTGCTGCTAATTTCTGCCATTTCCCAGGAGCGGCCTCTCCTCTTCCCCTCCAGAATGACCAGCCCCAGCCCCTGCCACAAGCCTGCCAGATAGGACGCTCCTGTTTGTATAGATCGGGCATCCTGCCATCCTGCCATGGCTGTCTGGGTTTGGAAGTCCTTTCTGCTGTGTCCCCACCACCCAAGTTCACTGTACTTAGCACTTCCCCACAAGGGACCCAGCCTTTATAGGATCCCAGCTATGTGTTTAGTGCTTTAGGGCTGAGCTTCATGTATTTCCTCACCACAACTTGTGGGTTGATACAATATGCTGGATTTTACAGGGAAAGAAAAAAAAAAAAGCTCAGAAACGTTAAGTAAAACCCTCAAAGCCACACAGCTAACAACTGACTGTAACAGATTGGAGTCTGCCTGTTCCCTAGGAAAAGGGACACAGGGTAGGACTTCTCTGCCAGAAATCGAGGGACCCAGGCTCTCCTCTCTCGATGGACCCTTCCCTCCCCTGCCCTAATTTCAGTCCCTTTGCCCTTCCTCCTTTGCCTGCCCCCCAGCCTCACTCCTAAGAACCCCCAGGTGCCAGAACCCATGCATTTCCTGCCCTTTTAGCAAGGGTAGGTCCTTCTGAATTCCAGGTGTCCCAGAATTGTCCCGCCTGGGCTGGAAGGAACCAGGAAGATCTGGCTCTGCCCCTTCCTGGCGCCCAGCACCAGGAGAGGACCCCGAGCACCCTGCCCCCACCGATTCAGAGTTCACATTCACTAAGGAAGCAGGAGTCAAATGTGTGTCGGGAAGACCATCCCTGCCAGTCCTGGCTTTCTAGCTTGGATCCCTCCTGCTGTGCTCTAACTCTGGGGATGCCACTCCACCCTCCAGGGCCCAGCCCTAGTGCCACGGGTGGAAATCCTGCCAAATCTGGTCCACTCCAGAGGTGCCTGAGCCCCCAACCACAGAGAGGGACTAGGAAGGCTGAGGCAGGAGGCTCCCTAAGGAGGGCCTGGGCTGGGTTCACTGCCCTGCTCTGGGGGAGCCACGCCCAGCTTGTTCCTTAATCGTGCTGGAAGCCAGGGCGAGTGGCTGGGAACTCCCTGAGAAGAGCTGCCAAGGAATTCACAAGCACCAGCTGGGTTCCCGGGAAGCATCAGGCCAGGCGCTTCTGGGGCCTGGGGGAATGGGGTTCCTGGCCCCTTTCCCAGGCCGGTGGCCGCTACCAGCTTCCACAGCTGGGATCAGGGACTCGGGGAAGAGGGTGAGACTCGATGAGGGGGCGAGGCTGAAAGAGAAGTGGAGCCCCTTGGTGACCGCGGCGGAGGGAGCGACTCCAGCCTCCACACCCTCGGCGCCCAAGGAGCAGGTGGCTAAGTCTCCTCCTTCCCTGCCGGCCCCTCTGCCCGCAGGCTTGACGTTCTCCGACGTGGTGAGCGCCACGGAGCCGTGCAAGCCGTGCACCCAGTGCGTGGGACTGCAAAGCATGTTGGCGCCGTGCCTGGAGGCCGACGACGCCGTGTGCCACTGCACCTACGGCTACTACCAGGACGAGGCGACGGGCCGCTGCGAGGCGTGCAGCGTGTGCGAGGCGGGCTCGGGCCTCGTGTACGCGTGCCAGGACAAGCAGAACACCGTGTGCGAGGAGTGCCCCGACGGCACCTACTCCGACGAGGCCAACCACCTGGACCCGTGCCTGCCCTGCACGGTGTGCGAGGACACGGAGCGCCAGCTGCGCGAGTGTACGCGCTGGGCGGACGCGGAGTGCGAGGGTGAGCGCGGGGCGCAGGCGCGCGGGGCTGGAGTCGGGCGAGGGCGCCCTCTGGGGGTCGCCAGGGGTCCACCGGCCTGCAGGCAGCTCTGTGACCTCCTGGGCCTTCCTGAGGGTTCCTGATCCTGTCTCCCGCAGGGGTCCTAAAGCGTCCTTTCCTCCTTCAGGCTCAGGGTGCCGAGCTGGCCTAATCCTGTTCCAGGGCACAGTTGCTCCACTTAACCCACACGGAGGACCGCGTTCCTCTGTGCCCACCAGCTCATGCTTGAAGGGCAGCACACAGCCACTGAAGGGGGCCGTGGCCATCAGAGATTGGAGCGGGGCATCTTCTGCTCGAGGGAGGCTCCCTGCCCTGGGAAGGGGCAGAGGCCAGCAGGAGCAAGGGGCCCTTTCACTCCGAGCCCTGGTCTGTGGTAGCTTTTGGCTGTAAGACCTGGGATGGAACTCTCCCTGCCTGTCACCGAGTGATGTCTCTCTTGTCCCTGAGGCTCAGTTTCCTGCCTGGCCATCTGGTTTTGGGGTTGTTGGGGTTAAAGACCAGAATGGGGTGCCCCACTCTGCCTGTGAGCCTGGGGACAGGGCCGCAGTCCTGGGGCAGTTGGGTGCAGAGAACACTGAGGTCGTGGGACTGAGGTGGGGTCTGAGGGAGAACGAAGGGGGTGGCAGGCCTGGAGCCCAGAAGTGGGGGGCGCAAGGTGGGGCCTTCAACACGGGGTGGTGGATGGGAATTGGGTGTTCACCCACCTCGGCCAGACACAGCCTGCAAGGAAATGGATGATGCTGGGATGGGAGGAGGAAGTACCTGGAGCCCAGGGCAGGACCATTTGGCTCTCAGGTGGCTGAGGTCCTCTCAGGAGAGGTCGACAATGCCTTTATTTGATGAGAGCCAATCTGGGCTTGCCCCTCACGCTGAGCAGGCACAAACGCTTCCTTCAGGGAGCTCCCAGTAAGGTAGGAGAGACAGGCTGGGCTTCAGTCTGATAGGGAGCACCTGGGGGAGAAGACAGTCCCCACCTTGGAGGCAGCACAGCCTCTGCCGTCCCTCAGTCTCTAGGGACGGGGGGAAAGTAGATCCCTGCACCTTGGAGAGCCTCCCATCTGACCCTGGTTCCGTTGCACCAGGCCTGTCCCCCATTCCTGTGAGTGCGTTGGTGCTGGGCAGAGGCCAGGCACGTATTTGACGCTTCCTGTTGGGGAAGACGGTCGGGGAGAAATGGGGCGTTAACCCCAGCGGGGTTCTGTGGAGATTGCCCTGAGCCAGGAGATGGGCAAGTGGCATCAGGCACCAGGCTGAGCCGGGAGGGAGCTCAGCAGGCAGACACAGCAGGCAGGTGGGCAGCGGCATTCCGTGGGCAAGTCCGGGCCGGCCAGAGGGGCACTTGGGCGGAAAGTCGGTGGCAGGGGAGGGGCGTCCACTTTCCCAGCAACCTCTAAGGAGAATGGCACCCGAGGGGTGTGTCCACCCCTGTCCTGTTCCCTTTTCAGCTCTGGCCTCTAAGGGTTAAGCGTCGAGGGTCTGTTGCAGGAAAGGGGAATTGGATTCTGGTTCGATTGCCCCCTCCTCTCCGGGGTATACATTTCAGGTGTTAGTGAGGTGACTCAGCCACCCCGGGGCAGAACGCAGTGAAGTTCAGGAAGGGTATCCCGTCCGTCCCTCCACCCCCAAGTTGGGTAGCTCCCATTCCGGAAGTGGCTGTCAGGGCCTGCCAAGGGCTGAGCAGGCTGGAATGCTAGTGCCACGGTCACATCTGGATCTCATCCTGTCCCCACTGGGGAGGTGACAGGGCCTTGGAGGTCGGGCTCAGGCTCTGGTGTGTTCTGTCATTTCTGTGATGGTCTGAGTTTACTTCCACCCCACACCCTTCCGCTGCGAGGGCCGGGGTTCAGTCTGCGCTGCACTGTATCTGCAGTTGCACCCCCCCCAGGGCTGAGATGGGGAGGTAGGACAGGGTGGTAGATGGCAGCCTCTCCCACTGCCAGCCAGGTGGGTTCCATGCCCACATCTGGTGGCCTCACCTCTCAGAAGGTGCTGACAAAGGTCACCTCTGGCCATCTCTGTCCTGAGTCCTGGAGGCCCAGAAGGCTGGTGGGCAGCTTCAACTCCAATTTGGGTGGGCACGCTGGAGAGCAGGGTGCCCTCCCCTTCACCCCATTGGCGTGGGAAGCAAGGACAGATTTGGTAGGCAGCTCTGCCCGGGCAAGTATCCCTAGGACATCCAGAGCCCACAACCCCTAGCACGGCTTCTGGCTGGGTGGTAGAATGGAAAATCCCATCCACTGCTGCCGGAAAGTGCCCAGCTCCTGCCAGAGAGGCTGGTGATACCCAGCTGGCATGAGAAGGCTCAGGTAGGTGGCCAGGTATTATCTCCCTCCCCCGAAGCAGTGGGCATTACCTGCCTTGTAGGCTGTCTCCTTTGGCAGCCTGATTCCTGCCAGGGAGGCCTCGGGCCACCTGGCACAGTCTTCTGTCAGTGGCTGCACCAGGCAATGTAGGGAAACGGAGGCTGGCCACTGCCCAAGGACTGGCAGTTGGGACATATGCCAGCTGTGCCCTGTACCCAGAGCCCCTGCCTAGAGCCTGGGCCTCAGAGACAAGAAGGAACCAATGCCCTTCTGTTTTGCAGCAGCCCCTGTTTTTTTCTACCAAAACACACACACACACACGCACACACACACACACACACACACTGGCACCCAGGCAGGGCCGGGGGAACAGAAAGAAGAACAGCATGGGCTGGAGGTTTAGCTCAGTGGTGCCAGTGTCTGCCTGGAAAGTGCAAGGTCCTGAGTTCGATCTCCAGGTTCTGCCAAAAAAAAAAAAAAAAAAGCACAGCAGTGGGCCAACCCTCACTCCCTGGGCCTTTCTCCCCCAGAGATCCCTGGGCGCTGGATCACACGGTCCACACCCTCAGAGGGCTCAGACAGCACCGCACCCAGCACCCAGGAGCCCGAGGCACCTCCCGACCAAGACCTAGTGGCCAGCACGGTGGCAGATGTGGTGACCACCGTGATGGGCAGCTCCCAGCCTGTAGTGACCCGAGGCACTGCCGACAACCTCATTCCCGTCTACTGTTCCATCCTGGCTGCCGTGGTCATGGGCCTCGTGGCCTACATTGTGTTCAAGAGGTAAGAGCCGGGAGAGGGGTCGTGAGCCCTCAACGAGGGCTTTGTGTCTTTTTTTTTTGGTGGCACTGGGGATTAAACCCAGGGCCTTCCCACTGAGCTACATCCCCAGCCTTTCTCTTACTTTCTTATTTTGGGGCAGGGTCTTGCTAAATTGCCCGGGCTGGGCTCAAACTTGCGATCCTCCTGCCTCAGCTTCTGAGAGTGCTGGGCTTACAGGCGTGTACCATCTTGCCCAGCTGCACACACTCCTTTAACTCAGCCCTATGTCAGGCTCCTCTCTGACTACCCCCCTCAGCCCTAGTCCCCCCACAGTCACAGGGTTTGTCTCTCTCTTCCCGGCCCCTCACCACTGGCTCCTGACCACCACATCCAGGGACCGCAGTGTACAAGAACTACAGGAAAGCATTTTAAAGTTGTGAATGCATTTCCCATTCGTACTTATTTGAAGTCATCAAAGTGATATATGATTGTTTAGGAAAATTCCTCACTGCAATCTGTTTGGAGAGGATCCCTCCCTTTTGTTTTCTATGCATTTTTTATATAACTGCATGTATATAAGGCTTTTTATGATCGTATATAGACATGCGGGTTTTTCTTAAACCCTCGAGGAGGACGCACTGTACCTACTCTCCTACGTGTGTTTGCTTTCTCCAGTTCAGAGAGCTTTCCTGGGGACACAGATTTTCTCACTGTTTGTTTGCAGCCATTCGTCCCATAAGGTGGAGAGGCAAAATCGCTGGTGTCCATAGTCCCCTCGTGATGAGCGTTTGGTTTGTTTTCAGTTTTTTGTTACTGCTTATAATTGCGGAGGAAATCCTTGTGTGCATAGCTGTCCACATGTGGGAGTGTTTTGCAAAGGGCGATTGGGAGAAGTAGAATTCCTGAGAGGTTATTTATTTATGTGCCTCCCGTTGGGTGAACGTTCACTGAAGCTCTCGGAGTGTCCTCAGGCTGTCACGGGCCTGAGATCCCGGAGCCCCACACATCAGAGCAGACCCCTGACCGAGGCCTGGCCTGTCCTCCACCTCAGGTGGAACAGCTGCAAGCAGAACAAGCAAGGAGCCAACAGTAGACCAGCGAACCAGACACCCCCACCCGAGGGTGAAAAGCTGCACAGCGACAGTGGGATCTCTGTGGACAGCCAGAGCCTGCATGACCAGCAGCCCCACACACAGACGGCCTCAGGCCAGGGTGAGTGGCTGGCACCCTGATTCAGATCAGCCTACAGGAGCCACAGCCAGGGACTGAGTTTTTAGCAGGACTGGGAGGGGCGGGGAAGGGGTGGGGGAGAGGAGGGGGAGGGGGTCTTTCCAGCGGTGACCTGGGAAATGGAAGCTTTTACAAGTCAGAGCCTCCAGACTCATCAAGCTAATTGTCCCCCCTCCTGGGGGCTAATTACTGCCCAAAGCAACTGCAATTAGCCTCCTGCCCTGGACTTCTGGGGAACAAGTGGCCAAGTATGGACCCTAATTAGTGGCCCACAGCCCGGCTCCGGGATGGGCTCAGTCCTGTAGTTGTCTGGAGCTCGGAGTCCTGTCTCCGCCTCCGCCGTGATTAATTGTGGAGGAGTGGGAGGGGTTAGGTGGCCGGGATGGTGCCGGAGCAGTGGTAAAGGGGACAGCAACCCAGCGTGCCGAGCCGTGCCCCTCCTAGCCCTGCCCCCGTCCAGGACGCCTCTTTGCTTTCTTGCGCCTCTGCAGTGGGAAGAGCGCGGCTCGGGCCTTGGGGCTCAGGCCAAGCCCCCAGCCTGCTGTCGCGGGGGCGGAAAGGGGTGCAGGGCTGAGACTGACCCCCTCCGGGTTCCCACAGGCCTCAAGGGTGACGGCGGCCTCTACAGCAGCTTGTCCCCGGCGAAGCGGGAGGAGGTGGAGAAGCTGCTGAACGGCTCGGCTGGGGACACCTGGCGGCACCTGGCAGGTGAGCTGGGCTACCCGCCGGAGCACATAGACTC